CGCAAATGACAAGGAAGCAGCTGGGGGGTGTACCTAATAGGTGGGAAGTCTCCAAGAGACAAAACCCATACCCACCATTACCCTACTCCCTTATTTTTGTGGGTTGACTTAGGTGGATGGTGTTAATCACTCATCCTAGCATCTCCTCAACCATCCACTCGGCCAAGGCAGAGAGAGAAGCTCTAGGGAAGCCTCCTCTCATAGTCCAAGCAGCAAGGAAGAGAATCCAAAGAGAAGAGGGTTGTTTTTGAGGTAAGAACTCAATAAACAATCTTTAACTAGTTTTATTATTGTATGATTTTTAAGAAATCATATGGTGGATTAAACCATGAGCTCTACACGTTTAAAAGTGTAGAATACCGATATATAGTGGTGTTATTTAACTTAGAAGAGTTGGTGAATTGATAGGAGTCGTAATCGCCGGAAACCGCCACTTCAAGGGAGCTAGTCGTAGTTGCAGACCACGAAAGCCGTCCGGCTTTCGTGAAAGCCGCCCGGCTTTGGCCCTGAAATCCAGCTTTTCACTTTCAATCGGCTTAGAACGGGGATTTATCGAGGGGCTTATCAAAGGCAACTATTCTAGCACATCACGAGGTGAGGATGGCTGACTATATTGCTTATAATTAGTGAGTTAATTTCATAAGAATGCCTAAAGTAATTAGATGGGATTTTCATGGATTATTAATGATTAATAATGCCTAAATGAAAATAATATGGATATGAGTAAGTGAAGCATGATATACAAATTTAGAATAATTGTGTATGATTATGTGAAATGAATGGAACGACATGTTAATGGAATTACTATGATGACATTGTGATAAAATATACTTTACTTCGTGTATGAAATTCATGAATGGATTAAAGTGATATTTTGATATTGAGATCAAACTATACTTGGGTTGAGAAATCAATGGAAATGAAATGCAAATTGGGAAATAAGAACTTGGCATGTTCTAAGATTATCCAATTAGTATCAAAATACTAGTCGGGGAATTAATATAAATAAATGATGAAACAAATTCTAAGAGGTAGGATTGTGAATAGATATGCCTTAAGTAGTCTCAAGAGATACTTAAGGATGAATGGTATGAACACTAAGGTGTGATAGGGGTAGGCCTAGAGGCCACCTCCGGGAATTGATTCTAGGCATAGGACTTGCTTGAGAATTTGATTATGAAAATAATTAGAGTTTGACTCTAGGGTGACATGGAGATGTAGTTGGGCCGAGCCCATGCCATGTAATATGATTAGCATGGAAACGTAGTTGGGCCGAGCCCTTGCCATGCATATGTGACCTCCGTGGAAACGTAGTTGGGCCGAGCCCTTGCCACGAAGTTATGGTTGGTATGGAAACGTAGTTGGACCGAGCCCTTGCCATACAAATTTTGATATGATATATCGAGTTAGAGGATTGTATAGAGATGTAGTTGGGCCGAGCCCATGCTATACAATTGGGGCTCGACGGGACCCCACAGGGTTATCGTGACTTGCGGTCACGGGGGGATGGAAACGATGAATTCTAAACGCATATGGGCCTACGGGCCGACTACTTGACTTTATATAAAGTAAGTACACTTAAAAGAAAAAGGGGTAACCGTGGGTTATGGCCTATAATATAATAGTACCCTAAGTTGAGGGTCGGGGAAATTAAAACGTTGATTATACTTAGTATAGTTGCTATTGTACTTGTCAAATATTTCCAAGTACTGACATCCCCTTCACGGGGGAGGCCACCTCACAGTTTCAGGTAGAACTTGAAGGTTGCTACCATCGCCCGCGGCTCCGGGAAGATCAAGGGGGAGAAGACGTGGTTCGTGCTTCTTCCGTCTGTTTTAAAAACAATTACGTTAATGCTCATGGATATTACTTTTGAATAATTACTTTGGGGGCTTGTATGCCGAGTTATGCCAAGTGTGGCTTGAACAATTGTATTTATGCTTCTGCTGTTTTGAATGAATGATTTACATTACGTTTGTTTATGGATGTACTATGTGTGAATGATATTCATGACGCCTTGTATAGTATGGATGAGTCGGACTGCGGTTGACTATTCGTACTGTACGGCGGGTTGTTGACGTGTCCGGCTAGGTTCGGGGCGTGACAGTATTAATAACGAAAATAAATCAATAGTCACAACTCTTCATACTTATCCTAAACGATGTTATCACAATGGTACCCCCTTAAGTATTATTTCCATCAAGTAATATATAAATATATATAATACATAATTATATACGTAGTATATAATACGGATTACATAAATATAGAACACATATTAATATTGATCCTTAGGTCGTATTAATTGGAAATATTCCAACAAACACATCATGATGTTTGTAACTGTTTGCTTTTTTTTGGTGCAAAGTGTCTAATTGACATCTTCTTCCTTCGTCCCACAAAAGAACTCCTCCTTGGATAGTTACAACTTATTGTCATATTATGAGTCAACTCTATCAATATAGAAGCTTACAAGTTATAAATGTTCACTTATACACACCTAAGGCCCATTTCCAATATTGTTTAGAGTAATAGAATTTGACCCTTTCGCACTTGGCTTTACATTAATTTTACTTGGAAACTCTTTGGACTTTGAAAAACGTTATTTTTCCTTCTGAAAAAAAAAATCTTCAAATGTTTATTTCTTTCGGGGGGACAGGGGTGGAGAATCATAAATGTACAAATAGGGAGAATCGTTAAACATTCTATTTATGATTTATGCAGTATTATTTATTGATGTATTAATAGTTTTGGATTTTCGTTCCAACCTGCATATAACGATTAAACCTCAGGCCGATTGAATCAAGAGCTTAAGTCAGGCTTAACCCGATTTTTCTTGAACCGGACCCCAAGTATTGAACTTTTGCTGAAATCTGAAATTACTAAACAGGTTTAGTATCTTGAGGAAGTTCCAAAGAGTATGAGTCTGTGGGAAGAGGAATGCTTCGTGTTTGACCAGCGGGTCTGCTACGGTTGGTTCAAGCTCTGCTACGGTTGCAGAGAACCGGTGAGTGATGCTGACTTGGAATCTCCAAAATGGGAGTATGGAGATCCAAATCTGAAGAAGAGAAAGAGAGGACACGAGCCCGGCAAAGACAGTTCAAAGGTTGACGATAGCAAAGAACAGAGTCAGTCCATAGTATGGTTGGTGTTGAACATTTGCATCTCTAGTACAGAGTGGAATTTAGAAGCCCATTTGGATGGGGCAAAGTAGCTCAAGTGGCTGAATATGCTAAAATGCAGAGGTTGGATGGAAGGACTAGTTTGGCTTCAATTCCTTGAACTGTGATAAAAGTTGCTTGAAAGAATGTATTTAAGTAGATTCCAGATCGATATTAATGCGTTCATTTCATCAAAAAGAAGGCAAGTTGTGCACTACTCGAGCTGTTTTGTACTTATGCAGCCTCCCAGTAGCCTTATTATTGGTGTGGACTTCATAAAACAGCTTAAATATTTTGCAGGATCTAAAATCAAAAGTGTAAACATAATTAAATCTGAAAAAAGAGAAGGCCGTCTAGTTCAATTGATTGCTGACTCACTCTAATTGATTGCCGACTCACTCTAATTAAATCCTATATGGGAGTACTCTCTTGTACGGGAGCTAGGTTTCAGGTTTCAAATTTTAAGCGGTCCAGTTTATCCCTGACCCTCCCTCAACCCTCTCCCCCCACCCTGGGTAGGTATACATCGTGTCACTAGAATTTGCATAAGTTCCGTATGGTAATTCTTTTGTTTCAATTCACATAAATATTCAACGAAGGGTCCATGTTGAAGGAGCATACTGGAATGATAACAAATTGAAAAAATGTCTTAATTAAAAAAATTAAGGTGCAAAGATCAATAGATGACCATGGTTTTCACGCCATTATGCCTAGAAGCATGTCAAGTGCTAAGATATTCCCCAGTTTCGCTAAAATGTAACACATTCACCAGAATGAAGAATGTTCTGGCCAAAGTTTTCATTATAATCAAATATAATCTGACAAAGAACTCACATTTCATCCATTATTTTTGTGTCATTCTTTTTATTACAAAAAGAGTGACTATTCTATTTATTTATGGAGTATTTTTTATTGCTTTTTTAAGTTGCTTTCATGTGTATGTAATCAATTCAATTGAACAGATTTAAAGAAAAACAGGATCGAAGATTGTTGAATTTCAGATCAAAAGCAATCACGTTTAACGTAAGTAAGCTTGCATGAACGAGAAGAAAGAGAGCTAATTTCATTCTTGATGAAAGAGAAAATACAGAGTTTTTTATTATGAAGAGAAAACTAAGAACCAACACTCCCATAATTGACACCAAGACCTGGAAATGCAGACACTTGCATTAATAATACGGATAATCTAGACAGGTTTGGAGCCCGTTTGCAGTCTACTATTTTTCATATTTTTTTATTATTAATAAAATATATTTCAAATATAATTTTTCCACTATATTCACGAGATTAACTGATTTCATTCTAACTAAACAATCTCATTTTATATAATTAATTCAGAGTATATGTATTATACATGTATTATACAGAGTATTTAGAATGTTTTTACCGGATTGCTTTTAGTCTCAAACTAAACCATACCAAATCAGAACATAAAGATCCTAAATACTTGAACAAATCAAATCAAATTAGATTCGGATAATTATAAAATAAACAAGAATCAAACATTTATCATACCTAACCAAAAAAAATTCAATCGAACTAAAAACATCCTTGAACATATACCTTATATTCTAAATTTGTAGAAATCCGGTAATCTTATGATTAGATATACACTTAAAAATACTGAACTTTTTTATATTATTCAGGGTTGAAACCTGTTCTTTTAAACTATTAGATGAAAGAACTTCGATACATTTTCGAATACATTTCAGAATCAGGATAGCAGTATATATGAGTGATACCAGATTATATATATATATATATATATATATATATATATATATATATATATATATATATATATATATATATATATATATATATATATATATATATATATATGTATATGCATTTGAAGCATTAAACCACTAACAGTTAAGGATAGGAGTTAAAGCAACACAATCACTTGTTCTACTCTGTTCTGGACGGCATACAAGAATCGTCATCCTCATCAAGAATCGTCCCATTCTTGAGAGCCTGGAAGATTACAGAGCTCTTGTCGAAAATCTGGGCCCTCCGATTGTAATCCGACGGCTCTCTTCCTTCATCGTCGCCCATTATCGCCTCTCTCTCCAGACATTCCAACAGCTCAGCCACCCCAACCTTCACCTCCTTGCACTTCTCTCTCACTATTCCCATCCCCGCCACTTCCTCCACCAGTTTCCTTTCCCACTCCGGTGCCGGACCGCCCCTTCCGCCGCATTTCACGGGCTTCGGTATCCGCCGGCTGCCGAACTGCAAAGCCGGGAAGGGGGGAATCTTGGTTTGGGGTGCGGAAGCGCGTGAGGGGAAAGCGCGTGGTATACAAACAGCTTCCATAGAGAGTGACGTGAGGTTTTATTCTACCAGTAGGGATTAGGGAACGAATCGGTGAGGTAAATATATACAACGGTCGTATCTGCCAGGTGGCATAAGCCATCAATCACGCGGAATGAGAACGTGCCATGTGGGCATCTAGAATATTCAGCGCCGCCCAATTCCTGGCGGCCGCCGGGTACTGTTTTGTGTTGCCCTTTTATCCTTACGTATGCAGTGACGGAAGGTGCACGTAATGAAATTGAAGTTTTTTTTCGAATTAATGTTAATTAATTAATTAATTACGAAAATAATGCTGATAAAAAAATATTTACCGATCTACTGCTGGGTTTAACCATGGTTAACCACACAGCAAGATATGAGTGTCACAAATATTTATCCTTATCTCTATGATTTAGCGTTTTCAGCGAAAATAGAGCACTGTTAGCGTAAATAAAGTTTATTTTAGTAATTAGGCAATCATCCCTTGATATTTTGAAACCAGCGCCCAAAGACATGTTTTAGAACTCGGTAAGATCTTTCCGATGAGATATTAAATGCTTTCAATGGCACAAAATAGAGCAAGATATGATCGCATCAAATTTTACACGAGTTCGGAGTGAAATCAGAAACATTAGTGAATATCTGGTCAATCTGTAACTTTTAATTAATGCATTGTAAATGAAGGTTGAACAATAGCTTTAGAACTCCGATCTATCTTTCCAACGAGATATAATACGCTCCAAACGGATAAACACACAGCAAGATATGAGTGTCACAAATACTTAGCCTTATCTCTATGATTTAGCGTTTTCAGCGAAAATAGAGCACTTTTAGCGAAAATACAGTGTACTTTAGTAATTAGGCAATCATCCCTTGATATTTTGAAACCAGCGCCTGAAGACAAGTTTTAGAACTCGGTACGATCTTTCCAACGAGATATTAAATGCTTTCAACGGCACAAAATAGAGCAATATATGATCGCATCAAATTCTACACGAGTTCGGAGTGAAATCAGAAACATTTGTGAATATATGGTTAATCTGTAACTTTTAATTAATGCATTGTAAATGAAGGTTGAACAATAGCAACTTATAAGTCGCCAAACGGTTTGGCGACTTATAAGTCGCTCAACCGTTGGGCGACTTTTCCCTTCCCTATAAACGCAGCCCAACAGCTACTGCTAGCCACGCACGATCGTGCCCGGACGGGTAGGCACGATCGTGCCTAATTCCGAAAACAAAATTTCATCAGTTTTTTTGCCTCATTTCAACTCAGACTCATCTTTTTGCTATAAATAAGGTCTCCCTTTTCCTGTTTAAGTGTTACGAGCGAGATGCAACACATTATAAAATATACAACACACATGTTCACAAACACATACATAAACACATACAACTCACCGGTAAAACACAATACAATCATCAAACATTCATAACAATTAATCATCTAATATTCATACTCGAACACATAAATACAACATACAAGAGAAAATATGTAACATTTTGTAAATTGTTCCTACAACATCTAAAATGTTGTAAATTATCTAAAATGTTGTACAAGAAAAACTGCAATACAAAAGACAAAGTAGAAGTTGTCATGGTCATCTTGATCACTCGACCTAGGATCCGCTGTCACCTGCATGCCTACAAACAAACAAAATCGTATTAGTTAATTTTTACTATTATACTAATTCTTTTTTTTAATCATCAATTTTATTAATGTGAATTACTATAATTAACACCTTACCCACTGGATCCCCCATCGTGTCTTGATGATCTCTTCGCACATGTGACCCTATTATGGCCGGTTTGGTGGCATTTTCCACATCTAACCGTTCCTCGGGGACCTTCATCCATCTCATTCTTAATACGTGTCGACTTAGGTCTTCCCTTAGCCCGAAGCATGGATGAATCGTGCACGATTTCAGGTCCATTGTAAGTAGGCCAATAATCACGATCAGGAATGGGTTTGAAGACTCTATGATATGTGGCCGCGTATTTGTCAGATGAGAAAAACTTATCCACAAATGGAGCATAAGACAAGCTACGTTGTCTACACACGGCTAACACATGGGAGCATGGAATCTTATAGATCTCCATCTTTTTACAAGTGCAAGTTTTCCGTTTCAGATGAACAGTTTGTTTTCTCCCACCCTTCCCCAACGTTCGGCCACCACAACCGGTTTCCACTTGAAATAACCCTCGGCCTAAATCAAATGGAGTAACTATGTGATGCTTGGCCTTCTCTCTATTCTTATCAATTAAATATGTGATGTATGGGAGTACTCGTGGCCTTCTGTCACTCTCATTTTACTGGTTTCACGCCTATTAACAAAATAAGCATTAACCCGGTAAAAGGAAACCTGGACCAAAGCGGTGATGGGCAAATATCTAGCATTTTTCATCACGCTATTGAAAACCTCTGCCAGATTAGAAGTGATGGTACCGTATCTGTACCCGCCATCATGGTGCAATGACCACATTTCCGGGGGAATGTTCCCCAGAAATTGTCGTGCCTCCAAACTCATTTCACCTATCTTCTTGAACCCACCATCAAACTTCTTTTTCTGATGTTGCCGTGTGGTCCAGACAAAAAGATTTTTTAGATGAATGTCTTTGAAATGAGTGTGCACATTCGATGCAAGATGGCGGATACATAGCCTATGATGCGCATAAGGCTCCTCCCAAGTACTACCCACCTCATTCATTGTCCTGACAATACCTCCATGTCGATCAGAAATGACAAACCATGACAAATGTGGTTGTACAACCTTCATGGCATATTTGACCAGCATCCTCATAATAGTTCCCTCCCCAATGACACACAATTGAGAAGCTTGAGAAATCCATATTCTAATAACAATTCAAATATATCCAAAAGTCAAGATTTACAAACAACTCACATTTCAATATGAAAATACCCAAATTTTGATATCTACATTCAAGTCTACATTTGAATACCCAAATTTAGCTACATTCAAATCCACCCAAATGCCCAAATGTCAAAATATATACATGTCAAAATCAATTTCAAATCAAATTTGAACATTTCATAATCTAAAAATTCCAAAAATTTAACATTCAAAACCCTAAGTTAAAAATGAGATGAAATGGAGTTTGATTTACCTACAAGAAAGAAGAAAGAGTGTTGAAGATGGAGGTTTGCCGGAGTGGGGTCGCCGGATATGGAAGTTCGCCGAAGATGGAAATGGCTCGGTCGTCCTTCGTCCTTCGTCTTTCGTAGCTGATGCTTGGGGGATTTGGGGGTTGGGTTTCATTCGCAGTGTTCTGTTTTGTGGTTGGGCGCTGTTTTTACTTAATGGAAAGTCGCTCAACCGTTGGGCGACTTATAAGTCGCCCAACGGTTGGGCGACTTTCCCTGACCACGGTTAAACCCAGCAGTAGATTCGTAAATACTTTTAACCCAACATTATTTTCGTAATCAATTAATTAATTAGCATTAATTCGAAAAACAACTCATGAAATTGCACGTTTTGGTCTTCTAATTTCCTTGACCCATGTCCTCAAATTTCACCGAAAAAGAAATACTGCCCTTTAAATAAATTATACTCCCTCCGTCCCAAAATGAACTTCACAGTCACTAATCACATGGTCAACTTAAATTACTCTTACTCTTATATTTTATATATCAAATTTTTATCAAATTATATTTTTTTATCAGCCCTTGTAGCGGTTTTAATGTAGTTTTCTCAATATGTAAATTTTATTTACTAAAAGTAATCTGAGTATGAACAGGGATCAAGTTGCTTTATGGTCGGTCAAGCATCGTAATCCGAAATGAGAAGTTCATTTTGGGACGGAAGTAGTATCATTTTTTTCATTTAATTGGGATGTTAATTTTTAATTATATTACAATTTGGAGTTTGTATTTTGAAGATATGTTAAAACAATTTGGAATATGTAATTGTTAATTATTAAAAATTGAATTAATTATCGATAGCGATGATTTAAGTGTAACTTTGGCTAGCCAAAAAGTGTTGTCATTTCAAATCAATTTGGGATGAAGAAAGTGGTGGAACTTCCTTGTTATGTTTGAATTAATGGTGTAAACATAGTTGAAAATGTGTGCGTATACCATTTAATGTAAGCGATTTATGTTTGGTGCAAATAATACTACATAATAAAATACGGTTAATGTAAATTCCTTAATTATTACTCATGTGTAATTGTGTAAATATAGTATTGCCTATTGATATATATCATAAATTGTACATTTCAAGGTCTTAATGATGTATACATTTGGTGTGACAAATTGGTGTACATGTTATTTGAAATAAATACATTCATAAATGGTTTTCTCAAAGCTAGAGAGAAACTTTTGATCGCAAGAATAAAACACTTAATCGTTTAATGATTAAGAGTTTTAACTCCATGAACAATATGCAGGAGTATGTAGTTATCTTTTTGGAGTTATTTATAACTCCAAAAGGATAACTAGATACTCATGCATATTTATAACTCACCCATATGTTCTTTCTAGTGTTATTTATCCTTTTGTAGTTATTTATAACCACATACTAATATAGAACTAACAAATCATTTACGCGTGTTTGAAACTCAAAGTAACATTCTCTGAAGTGTACTAATTCATGTTTAGGCTCTGTTCGGCACACTATTTCAGCCCATAATCGGCTGGAATTTGCCAATATCAGCTAATTGTAATATCATTAAACTTGTTCAGGAGAAAGGCTGGTATTAGCTTGAGCTGAAATTAGCTGACTCAAATCAAACGTTATCATTCATAGTGTTTCATTCTGCCAACGCAAAGCAGACTTTCGCAATCAAAGAATATCCCTGACCGTAACTCTAGCAGCTCCCACTCCGTGATAAAAAAAGAACTATTTTTTGCTTTAAGAGACTATAATCACAGTTACGAAAATATTGATGACCAATTAACCCCAATTTGTAGAGAGGATGAAGCTGGGGATTGGATCAACCCATATTGAGTATTTCAGTTGCGGCCAAATTATGGCATTTGTGTTGGTCTCCATCTTTCAGCATAATTGAGCAGCGGAAGAAGAGCTAAGCTGGAAA